CTCTCTCTCTATCAGCTCGCCTTCTTCTCTCTCTCTCTCTATCGAGCTCGCTCTTTCTTCTCTCCACCTCTCTCGTTCTCCCTCCTCTCTCTCTCTCTCCCTACCCACTTTCTCTCTCTCTTCCCCTCCCTCCCTATCTCGCTGTTTCTCTTGAACGCACGCTCTCTCTCTATCGAGCTCGCTCTTTCTCTCTCCACCTCTCTCGTTCTCCCCTCTCTCTCTGTTTATCGTTCTCCCCCTCTTCCTGTCTCTCTCTCTCTCTCTCTCACTGTCTCGTTCTCCCTCCCCAAGTGCATGCATCGGCAGATTCGGCACTGTACTCGACATCTACCGACACGCTCTTCTGCTTTACAGCCATAGCCATATATAGAGAGTCTAACTAGTATATTATTTCTATATGTCTACAACGCACCTATTGAGTTTGCTTTGCTCCTGTTCGTCGCCTCTTGCTCCTTGCGCCACGATGCGCTCTCCTTCTGGCAGCTGCGCATCCTGTCGATGCGTGACGATGCTACGGCAACAGCCTCGGCGGTGAGCGGGTATCGCGGATCGTAGCATCCGCATTCTGTCGCGATGAGACGCTGTATGCACGTCGTGATGCAGGCCTGTGTGCGTGTGCAGCGAAAACGAGACGCGGAGGATGTCAGGCGTATCATTCTCTATATTTATTTCTCTCGTTATATATATATATATAATATAACAATGCAAGGAGTATATGGATGTGATCCTTAATATATATATATCCGGATCACATCCATATACTCATTGTATTGTTTTATTAGCTTGCATTCCGCGTGCTTCAATTACATATAGTGGCCCATAACGTGCAAAACAAACTGCGTGCGCGCAAACACCAACGCGCTAGCAAACAACGCGGGCACGAGTCACGACACTGTATGTGTGTGTGTGTGTGTGTGTGTGTGTGTAGTGTGTGTGTGGTGTGTGTGATTATGTGTGTGTGTGTGTGTTGTCTGTGCGCGCGCGTGTGCTGTGTGTGTGGGGCGTCGGTGTCCCCCTGGTGTGGAGTGTGTGTATGTGTGTGTGGTGTGTGCTGTGTGTGTGTGTGACGTCGCTGTGATGTGTGTGTGTGTGTGTTGTTATGTGGTGTGTGTGTATTGTGTGTGTGTTGTGTGGTGTGTGTGTGTGTGTGTGTGTGTGTTGTGTGTGTGTGTTGTGTGTCTGTGCTATGTGTGTGATGTGGTGTTGCGTGGTGTGTGTTGTAGTGATGTTGTGGTGTTGTGTGTGGTGTGTGCTTGGCGTTGTGTGTGTGTGTGATGTGTGTGTCTGTGTTGTGTGCGGTGTGTGTGCTTGTGTGTAGGGGTCTATTATCAAATACCATCAAATTGCTATCAAATATGTATCATTATATACAATGTCTGCACCGTCTGGCTATTGTTGTAGTTGGGTGTTTACATGAGGGGTAGATGTTTTTTATCCTAACAGGCTAGGTGGAGTCATACACGTTTTTTTTTAGATCGATATAGCAGGGCGGTCACGAATGATACTTCTTGGTTGGTGTTATATATCCGCCCTTCATCATACGACGGTTTTTCTTACGGGTCCTTACGGATTCGCACAATTTTCGTAAAGTACACGGATCTTACGATTTGGCCACCTTTTACGAAGCGATTTACGTTGTGTTATTAACGAGCTTATTTACGGTTTATTACGGATTATTACGAGTATATTACGATGTATTTACGGGCAAAATTCCATCGATTTTGTAAGAGTTGTCCTTAGATAAGCTACGAGCACTTACGGGCATTTTACGATTGTTAGAGATTATATTACGGATGTTAACGATTCAATCGAAGCTATTTACGTGTTATTACGTACCTGTTTACGTGTTGATTACGAATAGGTACGAGTTAGTTACGAGTATTTACGAGTCTTTACGATTTTTTGGCAAAAGTATATAAAATATCCTGCAAATTCAAATCTATCAGCACTGACATCCAGAGAGACAACATGGCATATGAGAGAACACGATTGCAGTTATATCAACAATTTCTAATCAATTGCTCTTCAACTAGCCACTGTGAAGCTAGTAGTGGTGGGTTCAAGGTTTAGGCGAGCGTGCCCTCTTTCCTCTTTGTTGACTGCGCTTCTTTCTTGGAGCCATGCTTTGTAAGTGATTGTAGAGTAGATATGCCAGAGATAGAAGACTCTCTGAATTCTTGATACAATGAAAATGACGTTTCGATTTTGCAGTCCTTCCCAAATCGTAAACAATGACGTTAAAATACGTAATGTATACGTATCTATTCGTACCAAGTGCTCGTATAACCCGTAAACAATCCGATAAGCAAGACATCGTAACGACGGCGAATGAAATCGAAACAACACTAAGCTCACGTCGTAATATCCCGATAATAACAAAATGGTAAATAATCCACAGCAAATCGTAAAAATTGCTTACGAACTGTCTATTTTACGGATTCTTGGCGTAGCAGTTTTACGGATGTTACGTGTTGTTGCAGCGGTTTAGCGATCTTACGGATTTGTTTACGCGATTATTTAGCGAAAATCAAATCCGTGACACTCTGTCGAAAAGTCAAAAAAATTTGCCTCTCATATTTCACGGATTCCTTACAGTGCTGCGACGTTCGTGACGAGTTTAATACGGTAACCCAGCGAGTTTATTTACGGACGCTTTGCGATATGACTACATGTTGGCGATCCGTAAGGACTGCTGAAGAAAAATCCTTGTGATGTCATAAGGGATGTATTAAAGGAGTTCTTTTTTCTGGGACACAGTTAATTACAGTATAATAGGTGCTCCCCTGGATATAAACGGCTGTTGTTAAATGTAAACGTGTTTGTATACGAACCAGTGGACGACATTTGGATATTCGAACAAGGAAATACCCCAGTCAGCAGTAACCGATCAAACAGTTAACAGCTGGTGGGAGTTTCCATTTGCCACACGTAACAGATATAATTTCCCTTCACGCGTTCACTGGTCGCGGTGCGCAATACTTTCGCACGTGTCATATCCCCGCCACAGCGGCTTTTCTCTCGACAAGTCGCGACCGGGAACGATCCTGTGGTCAGCTTTGTGACAGCTTGGTGACAGCTAGAAGGCTTCAACAGATGCGCATGGAAAACTCGGCCGAACTGATCGGTGGCTTGCGCGGCAACCGTAAGCGCCGTTATGTACCATAATGTTTCAATGATGAGTTACACCAACACGCCGCGAGTTGTCTACATGCGACCTGCCAGACCTTTACTTGTCTTCTTAATAGAACAGACGGAGAGGTTGAGGGAGGATCGGGATGGCGGCGAGAAGGAGGAGAGACAAAGAGAGACCGAGAGACGAGATGAGAGATGAGAGAGAGGGATGAGGAGGAGAGAGCAGGAGAAAGGGGGCAGAGACCGACGAGAGAGAGAGCAGGCGGGGGCAGAGAGTCGAGGAGGAGAGAGACATGTACATACTTTTTTTTTATAAAAATTCGGCTATAAATATGTACCGTTATAATTATGGAAGATGATACGTGCATAATAATCATGTAATCTTTCATTATTTGCTATTGCATATCTGTTTGATTAGTGATCCGTTAAGTCATAGCATCATTATCATTACACACGACAACGGACACACTCACACACATAAACCATACGCCAGGGCACCGCACACGCGCACGCACAGCACGCACGCACGCCGCACGCACGCTACGCCACAAACATCAAACACACAGCACACATATACTATTAATATATATAATATATTATTATTATATATACTGCTGTGTTATACTCGTACTGTAGTTTACACCTGTATTGTGTAGTTGTACCTATACTGTGTAGTTACACCTGTATTGTGTAGTTGTACCTGTACTGTGTAGTTACAGTTGTATTGTGTAGGTATACCTGTACTGTGTAGTTACACCTGTATTGTGTAGTTGTACCTGTACTGTGTAGTTACACCTGTATTGTGTAGTTATTATATACCTGTACTGTGTAGTTACAGCTGTATTGTGTAGTTATACCTGTACTGTGTAGTTACACCTGTATTGTGTAGTTGTACCTGTACTGTGTAGTTACACCTGTGCTGTGTAGTTGTACCTATACTGTGTAGTTACACCTGTATTGTGTAGTTATACCTATACTGTGTAGTTACAGCTGTATTGTGTAGTTGTACCTGTACTGTGTAGTTACACCTGTATTGTGTAGTTATACCTGTACTGTGTAGTTACACCTGTATTGTGTAGTTGTACCTATACTGTGTAGTTACACCTGTGCTGTGTAGTTGTACCTATACTGTGTAGTTACACCTGTGCTGTGTAGTTGTACCTATACTGTGTAGTTACACCTGTATTGTGTAGTTGTACCTATACTGTGTAGTTACACCTGTATTGTGTAGTTGTACCTGTACTGTGTAGTTACAGCTGTGCTGTGTAGTTGTACCTATACTGTGTAGTTACACCTGTATTGTGTAGTTGTACCTATACTGTGTAGTTACAGCTGTGCTGTGTAACTATAATTGTATCGTGTAGTAGTTATACCTGTACTGTGTAGTTACAGCTGTGCTGTGTAGTTGTACCTATACTGTGTAGTTACAGCTGTGCTGTGTAACTATAATTGTATCGTGTAGTAGTTATACCTGTACTGTGTAGTTACACCTGTATTGTGTAGTTGTACCTATACTGTGTAGTTACACATGTATTGTGTAGTTGTACCTATACTGTGTAGTTACACATGTATTGTGTAGTTGTACATATACTGTGTAGTTACAGCTGACACACTCGTACGGAAACGGTCGCTAACAACGTCTTCGTCAGTGACCCGTCTACCCCCTACAACTACACAGTACAGGTATAACTACTACACGATACAATTATAGTTACACAGCATCTTATCTTATATTGTGCAGCAACTTATCAACGTATTTATTTTTATAATGTTATGTATTTATTATTACATATGCATATTTGCAGAGAAGCATCACTAGGATGAAGGCACCGTACACGTCCGACTGTAGGACGCCGAATTACAAGGCAGTGTGTTGTGTTCGCCATACGCGCATGCGCAATCGCGTTTCGTTGTGTGGCATAACCTGCGGACTCTCTTGTTTCCGTTTTTATTGTTTACACGTTCGCGTTGTCCTTAACGATTTACTATAACGAAATGACAAAACAAACAACAGTACAGTTGCTGTTAGAAAACTCTCGTACAGTGGACGTGATAATCGAAGCCCGTGCCATTCTCCTTCATATGTGCAACAATTTCTCCTATATATATCTTATCAATAATCAGATAATATACGAGTGTGTGTGTGTGCGTGCGTACGTGCGTGCGTGCGAGCGTGCGTTCCTATGTGTGTGAGTGTGTCTGTGATCGTGCGTGCGTGTGCATATTATGTCTGTGTATGTGCGTGCGTGCGTGCAGGCATATAGATTATATATATATAATCTTGATCTGAAATATAGTTCTGGGGTTCTTGCAGTTGCTGTCTTAGTAAAATCGTCTGATGTTATAGGTATCGAGCTATAGTACCTATCGATCAGTGTTTGCACGCTAGCATGCGGTGTATGAGCGAACTGTTACGTCAATCATTTGACTCGGTTCTAGACCTATAGGAGCCTATATCGGCACATAAATCGTCATAGTCATTACCATATCCCTAGTATTAACCCCCTAATTATAATCCTAACCTAATACTGTGACAGTCATTTCAATCCTAAAGTAGGATTGAAGCCAACCTCCCACCACTTACGTTTGACATTATTCGACTCCAAACACAATGCTAATGAGTTAAGTGTGCTCAACAACAGGTTGATGAGCAGTAGAGAGAGAGAGAGAGAGAGAGAGAGAGAGAGAGAGAGAGAGAGAGAGACAGAGAGAGAGAGAGAGAGAGAGAGAGAGAGAGAGAGAGAGAGAGAGAGAGAGAGAGAGAGAGAGAGAGAGAGAGAGAGAGAGAANAGAGGCAGAGTGAAAGGGGGAGGCGCGCGCGCTCGAGAAAGAGAGAAAGAGACAGAGAGACTCCCATATAGATCAACAAGCAATGCAACGGGTCCGAACGAAACCTTCGTAATCGTAGAAAATTCGTTTCGCGAATTTCTCTAAGAGGGAATATTATACCGCGCTATATATTATTATAATATTATATTATTATTATATATATATATATATATATATATATA